GGGTGAAACTGCTCTTGGATGTACTGCCCTTGGCTGTGACGTTCTTGAGGACGGACAGTGGAGAGGAGCTGGAGTGCCTTGCTGCCGCTTCACCCCACCACGCGACCATGCTGCTTGCCCCTGAGGGAGACCCGGATGCACCAGACATCCCCACCCCACGCTCTTACAGAGAGGCGATTTCGGGTGAGTACTCCTTCAGTGGCAGACAGCCATGGACGCAGAGATGGCTTCCTGGAAGTCCACAGGCACCTACGTCGACGAGGTTCCCCCACCTGAGGCGAACATCGTCAGTGGCATGTGGATTTTCAGGGTGAAGCGACCGCCGGGTTCTTCGCCTCCCTTCAAGGCACGTTACGTTGCTCAAGGCTTCAGTCAGCGTTAGGGGATCGATTTCTTTCAGACCTTCTCCCCCACCCCGAAGATGACCACTCTTCGGGTGTTGCTACACGTTGCAGCTCAGCGTGACTACGAACTGCACTCCCTCGACTTCTCGACAGCTTTCTTGTAGTAGTAGCCTTCATGAGGCCATCTGGTTGCACCGTCCACAGGGCTTCAGTTGGTCGTTTCCTGAGGCTACCCAGTGAGACTACGGCGACCAGTGTACGGCCTGCGTCAGGCGCCCCGTGAGTGCCACGACACACTGAGGATGACACTTGCGGCTCTTGGGTTTGCTCCTTCGACTGATGACCCGTCGCTGTTTCTACGCACCGGCACTACTCTGCCGCCGTTCTACATCCTTGTGTACGTCAACGACTTGGTTTTTGCTACTGCGCGACACTGAGGCACTGACCCTAATGAAGGCGGAGTTGCAGGAGAGACTTATCTGCACTGACCTGGGTGAGCTGCGGAGCTATCTTGGCTTGCAGATCACTCAGGACAGAGCACGGCGCACCATCACCCTGACTCAGTCACACATGGTGCAGCAGGTCCTTCAGCGCTTCCGCTTCACCTGGTCCTCGCCACAGTCCACTCCTCTGTCTACCGGCCACTCGCTCTCAGCTCCACCTTCAGACGAGTCCGTAGAGCCGAGTGGTCCGTATCCTAAACCCTTGTTGTTGCCTCGTGTACCTGATGATGTGCGCACGACCTGACCTGGCGTACCCTCTCAGCCTCCTGGCTCGCTACGTGCACCTGGTAGACACCGAAAGGTGCACTTTGATGCTGCGAAGAGGGTACTGCGTTACTTGTGCAGCACATCGGGCATGGGGCTCGTGCTTGGAGGACGGGGTTCGGTGGTCCTCACAGGACACTCTGACGCTTCTTGGGCCGATGACCAGATGACTCAGCGTCGTCACAAGGTTACACCTTCAGTCTTGGCTCTGGTTCTGTCTTGTGGAGTCGACTCGTTCTTCTTCTGTGCTTGGTTCCAGCTGTGAGGCCAAGATCTACGCTGGGGCCATGGCTGCACAGGAGCTACGCTGGCTGACCTACCTGCTGACCGGCTTGGGGGAGCGGCCTCGTTCTCCTCCAGTTCTGTACGTCAGCAACAAGGCAATGCTTGCTTTGTGTCGCGAGCAGAGACTGGAGCACAGAACAAAGCACTTGCTCTTCGCTTCTTCCTAACGTGTGAGTTGCAGCAGCGTGGTCAGCTGCGCCTTGCTTACGTGGCCTCTCGAGCCAACACTGCTGATGTCTTCACCAAGGCCCTTGGGTCTGGTGATCATCACCGTTTCTTCACTGCTCTTGGGCTTGTGCCCACTCTGCCTCACCTGTTAGTTGCTTGACTTGCTCTTGTTGTGCACTGCTATATTATACGTGCGTGTTTTCTCTTGCTAGGTTGTGATCAGTGTACTGCGTTGCTATTATATACGTCTGTATGAAAACTGGCCTTGTGGCCACTTGCTTGTGCTCAGAATGCGTGGTGACTTTGTGATCCACCCTGAGCTGTGTTCTCTTCTGCAGACTGGTCTTGTGACCGCTTGTTGTGTTAGTTGTCCCCCTACTTTGCCTAAGGGGGTGTGTCAGATTACAATTGTATCTGTAGGCTACAGTAGGGTCACTCCTTAGTGAGTACGACACTTAAGGGTTAGGTTTCCCCTACTTGTACTCACCTCTTGCCTAGTTCAATGATTCATTCCTAGTTCTATTCCTGACACTACCGCATAAAAGCGTCTCCCCAGTTTGCTGGCGGTTGTCATTTAAGACAGGAAATAACGTGTGTTTCACGTGCTCCTTATAGGATGTTGGCCATCTCGGCCATGTTTCAAGATAGCTCTATGGTATTATTCCTTGTACATTGATTAGTTTCAATATATACCTTAACTTCTGTATCTCTTGCCCTCCATTGGACGAGAATTTGATGTCAATGCATCTCTTTTTACAACTGACATTGTAGGTGTGCTACTCCCAAGCTAAGTAACGTGGATTTACCCTTTTTTCCTTCTACATTTAAACATCACTAGTCAAACTAAAAGCATCGTCGTTAAATCATATGATTTCTGCTGTAGTTATAAGGTATTAGGAACAAAGCTCACAAAGCTTGGATTGTTGTTTAGGTGCTAAAAATAGAACCCGCGAGCTGAGCGTCGCATTTGTGAAAGATCCGACTACCGAACAAATGCGAAGAGTGTAGCCTTATTTGTGGTGATACGTACAATATGTGATGATACAAGGTGCTGCTGGTTGCGCATTACTATTACTGTTGTATCAATAAATGATTTATTTGTTCACGGTATATGATATAATTTCTGATATTTTTGCATGCGAATTGGTATTCTACGCAATTTGGCCTTCATCTACTATTGAATTGCAAATGCAACCTGGTTTTGAAAATCTATCTGGTTTCAGGGGTACTCATATGTCGGTTAAATCATCTGTTCCTGACGCTTGTTTATATCTGAAAGCGAGTTGCGTGCTGCGAGGATGACCCCTTGGACTTCCTCGACAACATCCGAGCCTCGGAGCTGCCAGATAATCAATCCTCCGTGTCACTACAGTGTGCCTCTTTCGAGTGTGCTTTTTGCCACGCTTCTCATCTCACACTAGGAAGTAAGCTCCGCTATTTGCCACATCTTCAGCTTTTGTTCAGAAGCTGTGGCAGTAGCAGTAGCAAGCAGTCGCAAGTAACAGCAGCAGGAGCAGCCATAGCTTTCCCGTGCTTCTCCGCACGCGTGCATTTGCTCGTGCGACGGCTTCGTTCCATTAACAACTCGGCTCTCCGCGAATTTTCACTTACGAACCCTAATGGCACACGCTGCTTCGTGTTTGCGGGTTCCTACGGCCTCGCAATTTTGCATTCAATCCAAAGCTAGGCCGACCGATTGCCGAACCTGCGATGGCTGCACTCGGTCCCCCAGCCTCGGCGGAGCTTCGGCGTCGGCTACATTCGGTGCATCTGGTCACTCGAGCGCGTCATTGTTGTATTCACCTGCGCTTCGACCGATGCGTGGCGGTCCGCGTGGAATCGCGAGGTTGGGTTCGACGGGAGGTTCCCGGCTGGTTTTGTCGAAGCGCGTTGCTGAAGACGAATCGGACGGAGAAAGGTGAGGGTACGGGAAGAGTTCGATGACGAATAACGGAATTCGTCAGTGCGTTGATACCAGTCGAGGTACTTCCTGCCAGCGTGTTTAATGTAGAGTTCGAGGTGTGTACGTGAGACGACGACGAAAGGTGAGGCGACGGAATCCGTTCAGCGTGATTATACTTATTCGAGGTGCTTCCAGCCAGCGTGTTATGTGGACGATTCCGACGAGGCTAAGTAAGACGTCGGGGAAAGGCGATGCGACGGAATCCGTCAATCAATTTCAGTCCCGGTCCCGGTGTTTCCAGCCAGCGTGGTAATGAGACCGAGTCGGAAGGGTTGGGTGAGAGGCGCGGAATGAGTACGCGTGTGCGCATCAGGACCAGCAATCGCTGCTGCGATAACGGTGATTCAGGCGTCTCAGAAATTGAGCTGGAAGTATCCCTCTCCCCTCTTTTCCCCGCACTCCTCTCCTCCCTCCGTGCAGCACGAGAATCTCACCAGCGCTGAAGAAAGCAGTGCCCGGAGCCAAGCCCGGGGAGCAGCAGGAGCTGGCAGGAGACCACCGCGTCAACTGCTGCTCTCTCTGATGCTCCTCTCAAACCCTTTCCAATCTACCCCCTTTCCCGTTCCGCACCCTCGCAGCGCCAGGGAATCACCAGCGCTGAAGAAGAGCAGTGCCAGGAGCCAAGCCCGGGTAGCAGCAGGAGCTGGCAGGAGGCCACCGCGTCAGCTGCAGCTTCCTCTGACATTCCTTCCAATCCTCCCACATCCCACCCCCCCTTCCCCACTTTCATCCCCCGCCCTCCCCCAGCACCAGAGACTCACCAGCACTGAAGAAAGCAGTGCCAGGCGCCAAGCCCGGGAGTAGCAGGAGCTGGCAGGAGGCCACCGCGTCTGCTTCTTCCTCTGATATTTCTGTCAGGCGCTCCCCCATCCATCCATCCCCCTTCCCCCGCTCGCATTCCCCCCTGTAGCGCAAGGGAAGCAGCAGCAAAGAGAGCAGTGCCGGGCGCCAAGCCAGGGAGCAGCAAGAGCTGGCAGGAGACCACCGCGTCCGCGGCTGCTGTGGCGGCCCTTCTGGACAGCGCTGCAGGCGCCACCGCTATAGGCAGCAGCGGAGCAGAAAAGGCTACAACTGCATTTGCTTCGAGTGCTGCTGCTACAGGCGGCTCTGCTACAGCCGGTGCTGCTGGGGGGCTGCTACTGGCGGTGCGTCAGCAGCAGGGCCGGCGGCGGCGGCGGTGGGCGAGTTCTGCATCATAGAGGGGCGGACGCGCTGCAGGACTTTGCTCGCATGCAGCTGACTGAGATCCGTGACAACATCATCACGTCCCGGCGCAACCGGATTTTCCTGCTGCTGGAAGAGGTGAGGCAGAGGGTAACGGGGCCAAGGAGGTGAGGGAGGAAAGGTATGCTGCTGCTGCCGCTGGTGCTGCTGCTGCTGCTGCTGCTGCTGCTGCGCTGCTGCTGCTGCTGCTGCTGCTGCTGCTGCTGCTGCTGCTGCTGCTGCTGCTGCTGCTGCTGCTGCTGCTGCTGCTGCTGCTGCTGCTGCTGCTGCTGCTGCTGCTGCTGCTGCTGCTGCTGCTGCTGCTGCTGCTGCTGCTGCTGCTGCTGCTTCTGCGGCTGCGGCGGCGGCGGCGGCGGCGGCGGCGGCGGCGGCGGCGGCGGCGGCGGCGGCGGCGGCTGCTGCTGCTGGCGGCTGCTGCTGCTGCTGCTGCGCTGCTGCTGCTGCTGCTGCTGCTGCTGCTGCTGGCTGCTGCTGCTGCTGCTGCTGCTGCTGCTGCTGCTGGCTGCTGCTGCTGCTGCTGCTGCTGCTGCTGCTGCTGAGCTGTGCTGCTGCTGCTGCTGCTGCTGCTGCTGCTGCTGCTGCTGCTGCTGCTGCTGCTACTGCTGCTGCTGGTGGTGCATGAGGTGGTGCGGCTGTGGGTTGTAGGACAAACGGTGCAGGGTTGGGAGCAGTGGTGGGCGAGTTCTGCATCGTAGAGGGACCGGACGCACTGCAGGACTTTGCCCGCATGCAGCTCACAGATATCCGTGACAACATCACCTCCCGGCGCAACCGGATTTTCCTGCTGCTGGAAGAGGTGAGTCACAGAGGGAGCAGGGGGAAAGGATGGTGGTAGGCGCTGCAGGAGACCAGATTCGCCATGGTGGGGTGTCCCCCTTGTAACCAGATTCGTCAGCTCCACATGTCGCTGGGGATCACAAGACCAGAGGAGTGCCACTATTCGAGTCGATTCAAACCCCGTTTGCCATGTTGCCCCTCGTTCTGCCACCTTACCAGATTCGCCGGCTGCGTATTCAGCAGCAGATCAAGAACTCAGAGGAGAGCCGTTTGTTTCTAACGACTCGGGCACTTGTTTTGTATGTCTCCCTTCCGCCCCCTCCCTTCTTTGTCCCCCTTGTAACCAGATTCGCCGGCTGCGCATTCAGCAGGAGATCAAGAATGCAGAGGAGAGCCGCAACAGAGCAGCAGCAGCCGCCGCACGAGCGAAATTGGGAGGCCTGCCAGTGGAGGAGGAGGAGGAGATGCCCGAGTACCCCTCCTCGATTCCCTTCCTGCCCCCACTTGTGAGTGTTGAATTGAAACATCCTATGAGCCTTTTTCTGTGACGCTGCTGGTAGGTAGGGCAGCAGCAGCAGCTATTCTTCTTCAAAACACTTATTCAATCACGTGGCTATTCTTCATGTGACCGCCCTGCACTACCGGACTGCAGAAGACGGACACCTTCGCCTTCCTTGTGTGGCTGACCTAATGCTGCTTTTTCTCTTGCTTGTGCTGCTTTCCTGTTCTCCCCCACATCCCCTGACTGCAGCAGAAAACGGACACCTTCAAGGGATATTACATCACGTTTCGCCTTCCTTGCCTGACTTATTTCCTGGTTCCTCTGCTTTCTTTGTGTGACCTTCCTTTGGTTCCCTTACCCCCTGGTTCTCCCCTGCACAACCGCAGAAAACGGACACTCTAAAGGAGTATTACATCACATTCGCCTTCCTTGTCGCCAGCCTCATCATTTTCGGTGGCCTTGTGGCGCCCACTGTAAGGGGGGTGTAGCAGTCGTGGAGGCGGGGATGAGGGGATTAATTACTGGCTAAGTTCGGGTTGGGTAGTGTGGGGTATTTCACTGTTTATGGGATCTTCTGTGAGGGGGATTCACTGTTCATCTGATGCACCATTCATTCGATATTGCTCTTCCATTTGCTGCCTAATGCCCCTCCCTCCCTCCCCCCGACTCTACCACTCTTCCTTGCCCCTTTGTAATGCCCGTCAAATCTTTTGTTCAACTTTCCCTCCCTCCCTCCCTCCTTCACTCTCTCCCTCCCTCCCTCGCTCCCTCCCTCTCTCCCTCCCGCCCTCCTCTCGCTCCCCCCTTTCCTTTGCTCCTATCATCAGCTGCAACTGCGGCTGGGCATGGGTGGCACGTCCTATGAGGACTTTATCGCCAGCATGCACCTGCCACGCCAGCTCAGGTAAGCTCGTGACTGAGAAGGTAGATTGCTGTCTATGAGGGGGGGGTGTGGCGTTATCAGTCTGTGCATCTTGTCTTGTGTCTGGGCATGGGTAAGTGGCACATCCTATGAGGACTTTATCGCCAGCGATGCACCTGCCGCGGCAGCTCAGGTGAGACGCCCTGCCACAGACAGCAGCATACGCCCTCTCAGATGCACTATATGAGTGAGTCAGTGCTGCTGTGACTTGTGCCTTCAAAATGGGTGTGTGGCACGCCCTACGAGGACTTTATTGCCAGCATGCACCTGCCCCACCAGCTCAGGTGAGCTAGTGAGAAGGGGAGCTGGTGCCGCTATGAGACAGGTGTGCAGCAGCATGCAACATGCATGGCTGGGCATGGGTGTGTGGCACGTCCTACGAGGAATTTATTGGGCTGGTGGGTGAGAGAGTGGGCACATGAGGGCTGGTGGGTGAGAGAGAGTGGGCACATGAGGGCTGGTGGGTGAGAGAGAGGGGGCACATGAGGCTGGGGGGAAGGGAAAAGGTACCCGTTACCATATATGCTCACTCCTCATGCATATGCCTT